GATGATGTTTCCACAATGAACTGATACCCTCTGGTAATTTAACATAGCTATGGAAAGATCCACCATTTTTAATGGGAAAACCCACTATTTCTATGGCCATTTTCAATAGCTATTTTGACATAACCAGAGGGTATCCTGTCTCTGCCGGAGGATTGGCCTCATCATCGAGAATCTGGAGAAGCTCTTTGGGTCCGGAAACCGAAAAAACCATGGGGATTTTTCTGGATGTTTCTAAAGGAAAACACGACGTCACAACGACCTTACCATAAGTAGATGGTGGGTAAATCCATGTAAATCCTCTTCTTTGAAGTGACAATCTCATCAATTTGTGCGCTTAAAGCTTTACTTTCTTGGTTTGGGCCATGTTTTCTGGCCCAGGTCTTCTGACGAAGAGGAGATGGTCTCAGCCCGGGCATCGTGGTTTCACACAACTTTTGTTTGTCGCTGGTTACACCACCCCTTTTCTTGGTGGATGTGATGTCCCGTTGGGGTGGTTCCATCCCCCATTTTTGCATGGGGGTTTCCTAAGTCATGTGGTACCCCAAAATCATCCAGACTTAGATCTCAGTATTAAAACCTATGGTGACTTGGGGCACCCCATGACTTAAGAATCCCCAGGTAGACTGCCCCCGAGGAGCGCCGCGATCTCCTTAGAAAACTCTTTGAGGAGCAGCCAAGGTGACCAGATTGCAGCAGGGGGTTCGTCTTCGGCGATTTTTGTCACCAACGGTGGGAGTTTCATCCAAAAATCACAGAATTCTGTGTTTTTTTGTCACTGATTTGATACTGACATCTTTGAAGTTTTTTGAATATCGATGGATCGTTTATTTTTGGGGAAATCTGCAAGAAACCAGGGTTTTCACCTCCAAGAAACCAGGGGGGCTGAAATTCTCCCATCATCCTGGGGCTATCATCCTCTTGGCAAGTCCCGACAGCCAAGAAACCACCTGGTGGGCGAGGTGGTAAACGCCAAACCATGATATAGAATAATAATGAATAATATAGAATATATATATATATTATAAAAATAATGTGTTTAAATATATCCACACACACATACATACATACATGTGTATATATATATATGACTATAAATAGATAAATAGATAAATAGATAAATAGATAAATAGATAAATATATAAATAGATAAATAGATAAATAGATAAATAGATAAATAGATAAATGATAAATAGATAAATAGATAAATAGATAGATAAATAGATAAATAGATAAATAGATAAATAGATAAATAGATAAATAGATAAATAAATATACGTAAGCCTACTCCTAGCTTTGTTTAGATGGTGATTTCCTTGTTCAAATTTACCCAATGGACATCCCGGGGTGTGTCAGGCTGCGCTGGGGCATGAGAGACGAACAGCTGGAAAAGCTGATTTCTAGCTATGGAGAAGAGGCGGAACCACTTGGGATAACGTCACAGTGCACAAGGGCGGCCAGAAAGTGTACTTGCCATGAATGAGGATTTAACCGAATTAACCGAATTATATGTACAACCGAGTCACCGAATTATACATACTTACTTAAAGATGGTGGGCCCTAAACCGACACTGATCTTTCTTCACGCCCAGGGTATTGGATACACTCCAGCGCATGGCAATGGAACACCCATCCAGAGTTGCTTCGCGAATGCAAAGAAGTCCTAAGAAGTCCCGGAGGTTCCTGTTTTTTGAAGCTCCCCATGCATGACTTTGGCGGTGCTTGACCACTTTAAAGTCTGATTGACCTTCTCAAACTTCCTCAGACCTTCTATTTCTATTTCATGGAGAAACAACTCCTATACCTCTCCGGGGATATTTGTCAAGCAACCATCCCTTTCCCGTCCTTTCCCATCTATTCCCATCCTTTCTCAGCTCCGTTTCCCAGGAGTCGGGTGGTATGGAGGGTGCCTTGGTTTGTTTGTTGGTCGCCTGTATCATCATCAAGAGCGGGCTCCTGGTCTTCTGCCTCTATGCAGCCAGGCGAGTCCCAAAAAGTCGTCGGACCCTCCCTGCTGGACTTGGAGTTAGTGCCGTTTTGGGTTCGAAGAGCTGAAGCTAGATATGTTCATGTGCATATAATGGCATATATATATATATTCATATATATATATATATGATATATATATATACACAATATGACATTATGAATGCTCTATGTATATCATTGCGTATGTGAAGATATAAAAAATATCACACGTTATGCCATGCATGATGTATGTGAAAACGCAGAAACATATACTCATTATTCTTCGCAGATTTTGCACTTATATACCTCAGTTGTGCTGGCTTGTGCTACTGGCCTGGATCATATGGTGTATTCAGTTTATCACATTGCCCTTGGGGCCCTTGGGGTTTCATCCCTGTTGTGACCAGGTTGCCAGGTAAAGTCTTGCACCCATTTTGGAGTAGCCACTTTGAGACTAGACATCTGCAGCTACATGATCTGCGAATTGACCATGGTGGAAATCCAATTTGATTGAGGATGAGTGCCAGTCATGCCCACATGGGTTTCCTTGGGAGCATTGTTCTTCTGCCTCAGTGCTGTTGGTCATTTTCGTGATTGGTGGCCACTCTTGTTAATGGAGACCATTTTTGTTCTTGACATCCCCAATGTTCTTGTCAAAGCATCATTGCAGAATAAAGTTGCTGCAATGTTCTGGTCAAGAATTTCAAAATATTTGGCCAAACACGCTTATATTGGATTAAATCCGCATTTTTTTGGCAAACCATCTGTAAGCATCTAAAACCATCTACAAGCATCTAAAACCATCTAAAATCATGTCAAACCATCTAAAATGATCATGAATCATTTTTGTCAAGCCATCTAAAATCATGTCAAACAACTTTTTTAAACCATGCTCATGAAAATCTGATGGTTTTAGCCACTAAAACCATCTAAAACCACCGATAAATGATCATTTGGCATGGCATGTGACGCAGGCGCGGCGAGTCGGAAATCGCCCGGACGGTGGCCATGGATCACCGCAACGATGTTCTTTGGCCCCGAAAAGTGGAGGGAGCGGCTGGATGTTATGGTTGGTTATATATATATATATATAATGGTTGGTTAGTAATAATAGTTCTTGAAGGATTATTACTTTTGTGAATTAATGGATAATATATGGTTAATATGTGATGGTTTGTATCATTGGTTATGAGGGAGGTATGGTGAATTAATGGTCAATAAATGGATAAACATGATTAATGGTTAGTGAATGATCATATGGTTAATATGTATGGTTGATTATATAATGGAGTTATGGTTAACCATTAGTCAATGATCATGGTTAATATAATGGTTATATGGGGAACCATGGCTAATAAGCCCATCCCCCTATTAAACAGCTCCTAAATGGTCCCAACATGTAGGGTTTTCTACTAAACCATGGTTTCTAAGGGGGGTGTTTAATAGGGGGGAAGGGCCTGAGGGATTAATCGTTAATGATAATGTTAGTAAAGCAATGTCATAAACCACCCATATGGATTGATTTTTTAGAACACCCATTAAAATGGTGATTTTGGGGATGGTTTACTATTGCTTTTGTTATTGCTTTTGCCACAATAATGGTTAATCAATGGCTAATTTTCCAGACGTTCAGCAAAGACAGAAAATGGTGTCACTGGTGTTTTTCTTGACCAATTTACGGCGACATATTGATATATCTTGCAAACTACTGACTAATGGTATCTTGATGATTTAATTTTTACCCGCCGGTAAGTTCCAGCACCTGACCTGGCAAGGGACAAGTATTTGAAAAATCACGCATTTAGGTGCAGAATTTTCACATGAACACTGGGGAGCTTTCAGCCAAACATGTTTGAATACCTGAGGGTACTGTGAACCTTAGTGGTTTTAATGGTTAGGGGCCCAGTCAAAAAAAAACATATCTCATCTCCCTCTAAAACTGATGATAATAACATCCCTTTGAGGGAACCTTTTTTTTCTCCTTCGGTGGTGGCGCTCCTGCGCTTGGGATCAATCACCAGTTGGGATAACCAAGCAGTTGTGAGATGTGGGATAATCATCCACTGCTGGATGATTGGTCATACCTTTCCACAGTGGATAAAACCATGTTAACTAGTTATATATACAGTTATACCATGTTATACTACAGTGATCCACAGTGGTAAAAATGCTGGATGACTGGATTTCCCCAGATTTGCTGTTTACTTTTTTAGTGGTTACCATTCAAACCAATGGTGCAAAAACCATCCACCATTCTCCATGACTCCATGACCATCCACCACGCCACGCTGAGATCCTGGGAAACAGCTTGGTGTTGATCATCGTGGCTGGCACCGTGTGGTGCCAGAGCCGCGGAAGGGGCGGTGGGTGGCTTGAGAAGGCGTGCGAAGCTGGGGTCATGGGGCCACCCCCCAGCCATCATTCATGAAACCCCCAATGGGCGAACCATGATCCCATGTTTGATCATAGTAAAATGGACATATCTGGGTATGCAATGGTATGCCCTCCATTGGGCGAAGTGAGGTGTGACTCATGGCCCCCCATGGATCCCCATGGAGGTTGCGGTTTCTTCTGTATTTCCAGCCAGTTGACCCCTGCCTTTTTTTAAGCTTCCTGATTGATAGTGGATTATGATCCCGTTCCCAACCATTTTTTTGGGCGATGAACGAGGGCTTTGAACCAACCATCCGTGAGCGGAGTAGGAAGGGTGGCAGTCGAGTGGATGGGGTCCATTTTTTTGGAGTGGACACTCCAGTCAGACGGTTTTCGCTAAAATACTGCTCTAAATGCTGGATAAAGGAATGCTGCTTGCATGACATGACAGGATGTTTTTGTGAAATTACTTAAAGCATTTTTTTTGTGACTGAAAGGAGATCGCTGCTCAAATAGTGACATAGTCATAGAACTATACTGCAGAGAACAACCCAAACATTCAAGTTTCAGCACCAAGGGGAGTATTTGGGTAGTGCATTGCATGATGGAACCGGCAAGAAGAAGAGATGGTTTTCAGGATGTGTTTGTAGGTCCTTCCAGCTTTTGAGAGATGGGTCAAAACTGGGTGCAGTAATCTAGAATCACATGTACTTTCTAAAATGACCAATGCTCTGGTCCCTGACCGTGACCTTTGTTTTTTGACTTCGCACCGTGGTATGAGCCTGCTGGTTTCTGGAAAACATGGATCCTCCAACCTAGTAAGACCTGTTGGAACGGGCCAACTTTAAAAAGGGGGAGCTCTGCAGCCCAGATTTCACACCCATCAGGTCTGTTTCTGGGCGAAATTAGAGGCACCCATAGTTTTTACCTTCGATGTAAGGGTTCCCGTCATCACTCATGGGAAACTGTGCCAGGTGGATCCGTCATCGTCGCTGCTCCTGGCTCTCTATGTGTTGACTTGTTGGCTGCAAACTGCGGCTGAGCAACTTAGAGCCTCCCGGTTCAACAATGGACGGAAGTGCAGAACTGGTTGGAGGTATCAAAGGTATCTTCAATTCAGATTTTGTGTGATAGCAGTAACCTTGGCGGGGGAAGATTCTTGGAATGGGTTTAAACCACCACACATGAGTTCTCCAATTAATAGCCCGAGAAGCCACCAATGTTATTTTGTGTCATGTAGTTGCATCCCATTTGTTATTCAGTCTGCACGCTTGTTCATGGTATAAGGTATGAGGTTGTATTCTCGATTCATTTACGATCTCTCCATCATGATTGGTTGCTTCCCGATGTTACTTGGTTATGCACTCTCCATTGTTGGCTGCAAAGCAATTTCTACGTGCGTTTTTATATCCGACCGTCGGTTGAGTACACTTTCGTCATATCATATCTGTCAATTCCCAATTCTCACTGAATCCGAGCTATGATCGGTTGCATCCCCGCTTGTGAATGCGAGCCACTGGTTGAGGAAAGTTCACCATAGAACTATTTAAGTCTACCCTCTGGTAGTCGAAGATGGCAATGGACAATCTTCCATTCATAGATTATTTTCCCGCTTATCTAAACCTCCATGTTTTTCGGGGATTTTCCAGCAAACCAGATTGCCGGAGGGCACACCAAATATGCATGTCAACAATACCTGGTTGGTGGTTTCAAACATTTTTTATTTTCCATAATATGTGGGATGTCATCCTTCCCTTTGACTTTCATATTTTTCAAGATGGTTATTGCACCAACCAGATACAGTCCGGGCTTCACGTGATCAGAGAATCCCCAAATGGTTGCTCCTCATCCCTGTGAAGTTGGCACGACTTAAAAAAGACACAATTTATTGGGGAGCCCATTCCTAGGTCCCCAGATATGATATTTCTGGTAACAAATCCCACTATATCCCATTGTATTCTCATTAAGTCACAATTTTTCAAGTATTTTCAAGTTCTACCGTGTTACCCACCATTTTTTGATCGTTTTTGGGTGTCCCAAATGTGATTTCCCCAGATGCCGACCAAGGTGTTAAGCGACCGACGTGGGAAACTCAGCTGTACTGGTTGTGTCCACAGGTCCACACTTTTGATCCGTGATCTCCGATATTTCAACATCTGAACTCCGCTTTTGTCTGTAGTTTTGCCATGCTTTGCCCGTGAACTACCAGGATTTAACAAGTCCTGTTCACCCATCAATGAGTGAATTAGTATAGGCCAACCTTGTTCAGATCCTCTTGACCAGATCCTATGGTTGAAGACGAAGCCGGTGAAACCATTTACCATGCATCAAGATTTACGAATGTTTTCATGGTGAGTGAGTTATATCATCCCAACTGACTAATATTTTTCAGAGGGGTTGAAACCACCAACCCGTAAATCTTATAAATTCTGCTTCAACGCAGAGTGAACGCAAAGTCCTATGTCCTATGGAATGCGCATCGACCTGACTACAAAAGGCCAGAGGAAATCACTACATATTATGATATGTGATGTCTAAAATATAACGTACAGTAATGTATAGTGTATATATATAAAATTTCCCTGAAATCCACACTCTTCGTAGGTCAACACATGACTAAAAGACGACCAGGTGCCGAGGAAGAGCATGCCCAGGTGCGAGCCATCCTGGATGGCCTCTTTTGTTGCGGACGTTCTGGGGATTTCATGGGTTTCCAACCAACCCTTTTAACCAGGTTTAACCAGGTTTAACCAGGGAAAAATATGGAAAAATGAGGTCCCGATCCATACCCCGGACGATACCATAGCCCTGATCTATAGAATCTATACCCTGAAGAGATAGAATCCATTTGAGATCATTTGGGTAACTCCTTTGTTCCATATGCTCGGATCACTGCGTAGCGATTCATAGCTGTTTTTTGAGCCATAGCCATGTGGGATATTTCATCGATAGCCAACTGGATATGATATTTGGGTGTGTCTGAAAATGGGATTTACTCAGCAACTGGCCATTTGAATAGGAAGAATTATATATGATATCTGATAAATCACTAGGTTTTGGGGAACACCGTTTTCAGGCGAATCCACTTTTAATCACTTTTACATTTTTCGGATAGACATCCAGAAATTCTGCGAATTTAAGGGACGGACGTAAGTTACATATCTTTTCACGTACCTAAATCCACTGGTTCATCATCATCACCGTGAAGATTTAACCGTTCTGAGGTGAGTATGTAGATAGAAATAAGGCTTCAATTACTGGCAATGCCATTAGATCCATTAGGCGGTGGTGGATTTTGCCACGGGGCGCGTTGCAAACAGCGGCCTACACCTGGTAGAGGTCAGGACTTGGCTGGGCAGTGCTGTTGGGATTTAAGCATCGGACTTGTTGTCAAAGATGAAAATTGGGATGTCGCCAAAGTTTGCTAAACAAGAACACACTGGAATTTTAACGACACACAAGGAAATCACCATATTAGTTTTAATTTTAGGCTGAGCTGTAATCAGGACATGAGTTTTGCACGTCTACAGTAGCCATGAAAACTGATGATCCTGGTACTGGGTACCGGCCAATTACCGCTTACATATTGTGTCATAAGAAATATTGTAATAAAGCTTGCATTTATGTGGTTTGGGCTGTGCGACTATAGCATGCTACAACTAAACTTACGTATGACTTTTCCATGTAATTTTGTTCGTCTTAAACTGGCAGGTATACCAAAATGCCTATATTTTTAAATCGGTGAAGGTAGAATGAAGGTTTAGGGGTGCCCAATTTGAGACATTCCCTCTGGTAAACAAACATAGCCATTGAAAATGGCCATAGAAATAATGGATTTACCCATTAAAAACTGTGATTTTCCATAGTTTTTTGTATGTTTACCAATTTCCGTCCAGTCAAGATTTGAAAAGGCTTCCGGGTCTGTGGATTGCAATCATCCCCATGAAAAACCACTTGGATTCAGTTTGCACCTAACACATCTAAGCATCAACCGACAGATCCCAAAATGGCATTTTCAGGGACTTTTTGGGTCGAAAGCCTTGTATTTGATGGTCAAAAGCCCTTGTATTTGATGGTCAAAAGCCCTTGTATTTGATGGTCAAAAGCCCTTGTATTTGATGGTCAAAAGCCCTTGTATTTGATGGTCAAAAGCCCTTGTGTTTGATGGTCAAAAGCCCTTGTGTTTGATGGTCAAATGCCCTTGTATTTGATGGTCAAAAGCCCTTGTATTTGATGGTCAAAAGCCGTTGTATTTGATGGTCAAAAGCCCTTGTATTTGATGGTCAAAAGCCGTTGTATTTGATGGTCAAAAGCCCTTGTATTTGATGGTCAAAAGCCCTTGTGTTTGATGGTCAAAAGCCCTTGTGTTTGATAGTCAAAAGCCGTTGTATTTGATGGTCAAAAGCCCTTGTATTTGATGGTCAAAAGCCCTTGTATTTGATGGTCAAAAGCCCTTGTATTTGATGGTCAAAAGCCCTTGTATTTGATGGTCAAAAGCCCTTGTATTTGATGGTCAAAAGCCCTTGTATTTGATGGTCAAAACTTCCATGGTTTCAATCTGCTTCCCAAGATTTGCCATCGGACGCCGGGCCAGGCTGCGACGTACCACGTGGGAGAAGGCTACGCGGCGAAGCTGGAGTTAGAGCCGGAGCGATGGGCCACCCATTACCGGAGCATTGGAGACGGGGCATGGGAGATTTTTTGGGATCTGATTGATGCGAAAATAACATGTAGATGTCATTCACATGTTTCTATACGTGGAGAATGGAGTATGATTTTGAGATTTGATGGGAAAATCATCTATACATGGAGATTTTTCTGGGAAGGATTGGGAGGGGATCTGTTTCAGCAACTTGACTTGATATATGGGTATGTCTGAAAATGGGGTTTACTCCCCAAATAACAATCCAATGGGGGAAATGATGATAAACAACTGGATTTTTGGGTAGCCTATTATCAGACAAACCTATATGTGGCTTGTCAAGCAGCAGTAGATGATAGTTGCTGATACTTGTAGTTTATATATATATATTATATAGTTGATGATTGTTGATGATAGTTGATGATAGTTGATGATACTTGATAGACTTATCATGTTTTTCCAACCATGATATCATTTTTGTGGGTTGGCTTCTGGCAACTCCAGGACCGGGCCTCTGCTCAGACGTCAGTCCAGGTGGCTGGTTGGAAGACATGGTATAAAACATGTAGATACCGAGATACCATATAAACAATAGATAAACTACTCTACAATAGACTCTAAAAATATACAGTATAAATTCTAGAATAGATATGAATAAACTGCGATCTAGACTCTTTTTGGCTCTGTAGATCGCTCAAAAGACTCCGGTGGACTCTATGTTTTCTTTTTCGTTTGCGCCTCTGTCGTTGTGGTTGCATAGATGGGGATTCAATCTTTAAAACGAATAGGTTTGCACAAGTGATGCCTTCCTTTGGTTTGCAGATGTTTTTGTTTTGCAAGTGATGCCTTCCTTTGGTTTGCAGATGTTTTTGTTTTGTAACTTTGAAGCAGAATTTCCCAGTGCTTGTAGTGTCAAAGCTGTGGAATCCAAAGTTTCCTGGGCACAAATTCCCTTCAACCAGTGGCCAGTGGCTGAAGCACCGACTTAGTCAAGTTCCCTTTCATTCCCTGGGGAAAAAAAATACTTTAACCACTGGTTAGTCGATTAGAAAACAGGTAACTCCCAATTATCACAATCAATCTGGGCAAATGATGATCAATGGTATACCAGTCGCCGGCCCCAAACATAATATGTTGTTCTATTTTTATCTATTTTTATCTGCTTTCATCTATGTTCATCAATTTTCGTTCATATTTCCGTCAAATTTAATCCATATTTTCACCTATATTTTCATCTATTTTCATTCATTTTCATCTATTTTAATCCAAATTTTCATCTATAAAATCATCCTTCCACTGGCCTGACTTCCGTTCGATCCAGGTGGCTCAGCTCCTGGACACCTTGGAGAAAGACATGCTGACCTCGGATTTGCAGGTGGCAGATGGTGGCAGGGGTAACCATGGACGGTGGCTGGGGTCATTTTTTTAGGTAGCCTCTGGTTATGACTAACATAGCCATGGAAAATAGATGGCCCATAGAAATAGATGATTTTCCCAGCTGGAAACCTCCATTTATTTTGGGGATTTTCCATGGCTATGTTAAATAACCAGATGGTAACCATCCAGTCTTTGTGCGCAAATTTGACTTGTACCAATGTGGAGGAGCTGAAAAACACACTCATCTGCTTGGTAATTTGTGATTTTCAAGAAAAAGATCCGGCCGATCCAGAGGCCCAATACATGGGTTCGAGTGTATGTCATTGGAGCTTGCACACGTCAAGCATTTGTTTGCTTTAGCTTCCATGTTCGTTCAAGAAGCACTCTCGTGGATCGAACTCCTAATATTTTCCCTACCAGAAGAATCTATAGCATTCGTAGAGAGTAACAATGAGAGTCCCATTCCCATAAGTTTCTTTCTTGGATGTGCATCCCAATTAATTACATGGTAATCATGGTAATTCGAAGTTGGTGATATATACACATAACTACACAGAACCAAATTAATTTTTCACGACCATAAAACCCAATCATATCATCATGTTGTTATTGTTACACGTACATGTACATACATACAAGGTGGTGCCAGTTCCAGTTATAAATGGGTTATAAGCCCTTGAATACTAGTTCGATATAAACCAGTTATTGGAGTTATTTGCACCAACTATTAACCATAGATATAAACCATAGTTATTGGAGTTATTTGCACCAACCAATCGCAATTCTGAACGGGGGCACCTTGTACATCATCTAAAGTGGGATCTGTGGTGCAGGTCATGGAAGTGCACGCGCGGCTTCGACCACGTCAGGTCGGTGCCCCAGTCGGTTTCTGCGGTGCCAGTGCCTTTGTGGCGCGATTTTGTTAGAGAAGAGATTGAGATTTTAATGGGATTTACTGTTGTTGATTGGAATTAATGCAATTTAATAGGATTTGCTGTTGTTGTTGGGATATTCATGTATATAAAATGATATAAATTTAAATGGAGAATGGGATATCAATAGGATATTGATGGGATTTACCGGAATTTATCTTGGATTGGGGATGTACTGTGGTTTCTAGCCAGAAGTTTTTTCCACATCCACTTGGGTCTGAAAATGGAGGTATCATACTAAAGCCACCAAGTGGGTATCCACGACTTTTTTGTTTCCCATGTCGTCATTCTCCTTTAAAAAGGGTCGCTTATTTGCCGGTTCCATCGAAGTGTTCGGGGGGATAGAACTGACCAGAATTTCATGGGCATGGAGGGGTCACAACTGATTTGAGTGGTAGCCCCTGTTTTTCTTCGATCATATAGAATCAAGATGTCTGAAACTGCAGTGAAGTGAGCAAACATGCACAAACATTGAAGGTGGACATATTTGTTTGTCTATTGGAGGATCCTTCCCTCTTGCTTTGATGACGGTTGTGCAGCATGCACAGCAATGACAATGCACGTGTTTATGAAAAATTGATGTAGCATAGATCCAACGACAAGCCTCCAGTTGGGGGAGAGTTTAGACATGTTTAGACCACCCATTTCTGGTAAAATGGTTGATGGTTTTCTGGTAAAATGGTTGATGGTTTTCAACTTGGCTTTACCACAAAAAAGTAGCACCTATCAGAGCAGTCTGTCCGATCCCTCCAGCGATCTGAGATGTATTATATATGTACCCTCCATGAACAGATAGGGGTTGGAAGATGAGTTTCCACGAAAAAATGGGGCTATTTTCAGGGTCTGTGAATTTACCAGAGGGTACCTACTTTCCGGTGGCAATGGAAAATCCATCTGTGGTTCCCAGGGCCTTAATTTTGGACCTATGCCATATCCATCTCCATATAAAAATTTGTCGATTTGTCTCGATTTGTGGGACATATCCCAAGATCATTTCCTTCAAAACCACAGGGGGCTTGGAGGTGCCACAATTTGAAACCCATGGCCCATATCTGGCTGGTGCCATGGCTTACCATCTTCAACCGACCGCCAGGGCAGTGAGACAAAAGAAGACATGACTTGGGCAGGTCAGTACAAGCCACTCGATTAAGAAAAAAGTTGGCTGAGTAAAAATCGGATCCTCCAATTACTTTATTTCGAGTGATCCCCAGTTATTCACACTTATGAAGACACTAATTTGTCATAGTTTCTAACATATCATCTGGAAATATGGTATGGTATAATCTCACCTGACAGGTGGGAAAATCGTCACTTCATAAAGAAGCCACCAAAATTGTACCCCCAATGATAAACAGCCCAGGGGTTTCTTATGGTTTATTCATGCCCTTTGGTTGACATTATTCAAACAGTAGCGTCGTTGAGATTGATTAACCCAAAAATCATCTATGGATTGTTGGGGCTTTAATCTTTGGTCACAGCCCAAAAACAAGGTGGTGCCCCTGTTCGGAATCGTGATTGGTTGGTGCGTTTATAACTCAAATAACTATGGTTTTTGTTGGTGATATATCGAACTAGTTAATGGGCTTATAACCCATTTGTAACTGGAGGGGCCACCACCTTGTAAGACCATGTTCATGTTGCACATCCTATTTCGATGATGTTGCAACAGGAACACAACGTGAACACGACCAGCGTGCCCATTGTTTCAGGGCTGATCTTTCTCCCAGCGGCCGCCCGTGGTGTCGTGAAAATGGACCTCGACCGACTGGCATTGGGGCCCATTGGTGAGACTTTGATGACAGGAAGTTTCCCATGGGAATCCGTAATGAATGGAATATGAATGGTTAATGCGTGTTGCGTGTTAATGTGACCATGGATGTTGATGGATTGTTGGCGATGTTGATGGAGGAAAAGTGAGGAAAAGACCAAGCACCGAAGATCGAGTTGTCTGCGGTGCATCTAAGATATACGCACAAATATCCCATTTCATGGCAGGTGGGAATTGCTGAATGCCAACAAGCCCGCCTATAGTGCATTCGTGCATTTGCCGGGCTAGTCCCCATCCGCCGCTTTGTATTCTTGCATCAGAAATTGCTGAAATACAGACTTGCTCATGGCAATGTAGGAACATGATAGAAGATGGCTCTTGCTGCTGGGCCGACGGAAGATTAGTTCTATGGGATTAAAATGGAAGTAATTCCTTATTCACAAAATTCTCAGGATAGAATTTTAATATCAAACATCAAATCTGCAAAGCAACTGAAACAACTAAATGAACAGCAACCAGACAAATCTATCATATCAAGTTGCTTATATAAATCCTATCAAATGTCCAGAGCTATCCCCATTATATCGCATAAAATATATCTATTTCTTGGCACACCAACAGCCCTAGTTGCCCCGATCAGTCACCATGCTTTGACGCACGTATGCCCTGGACAGGTTCGTGAACCCGCAAGTGATTTCGCTTTAGCCATGTCATCTACAGGAGATCTATGTTTTCTTCATCATGTCCAACTTTAGACATACACATTTTATGGTTTGCGGCACCACATATTCTATGATTCTATATCTCTATCTATCTATCGATCCATCTATCATTCATCTACGAATCTATTTTATCTATCTGTTTGCTTAATTTTGCTTGTGTGTTTGTGTATACATATATATATAGGTCTACTTGAATGTGACATCACATATAGAGGTTGTACAAATCCATACAAATCCTATCAAATATCCATGGTATTCCATTCTATTCCACAAAACTTCACCGTGCTTGTTGGTTTCACCCCATGAAGTCCAGCATTTTCGTCGTGGTTTTGAGTCTGGGGGATCTCCTCCCCATCTTTCTTAGTGGAAACCAACATTTTTCCACGGCATGTCCCACCAGGTCAGCCCCGATGCCCTTCCGCTTGGCTCCCCTGAAGAGGAGGTGTTTGGACTCACCGGTGGTGGTTTCAACAGGGATTTCACCACGAGCACTGACTGAGGTATTTTTCCATATGGCTATGGATCAATACCTATGAAAATACCATTTTTAATGGGATGAACATCCATTTACCAGCTATTTTGATGTGAACTACAGGGGGATAGGGTTTTGACACACTTCCATATTAGATCAGGTCGGATTTGTATTGATGGGTTGAAACCACCAAGGAATCCATGCTAAGTATGCTAAGTCTGGTGCACTTCTATGGACCTCAGCAATTGGTACAGATGTAATACACTAGAAAGTGCAGATTACTGGGGGATGTTTGTTCTCCACTTGGATGGTGAACCTCCAGCAAAGAAATCCTACAGCCATTGGTTGAAAGAGACAAGTAGAGATCCTAGTCATAGTCATGCAAGGTGGTGCCCCCGTTCGATAGCTAAGTTGGTGCAAATTACTTTACTTCGTGTGATCCCCACCATTACATTTATAGATTTTCTTACTGGCAAATCTTCTGGCATATATTCTGACATATCTTCTGGCATTCTATCCGGCATATCTTCTGGCATATTATCTGGCAAATCTTCTGGCATTCTATCTGGCATATCTTCTGGCATTCTATCTGACATATCTTCTGGCATTCTATCTGGCATTCTATCTGGCATATCTTTCTGGCATATATTCTGACATATCTTCTGGCATTCTATCTGGCATATCTTCTGGCATTTCTTCTGGCATATCTATCTGGCTTATCTTCTGGCATATTTTCTGGCATTCTATCT